AGGGAATAAGATTCAGGATCTAGAGCTATGTTGTCCAAGAGGACTTCCATTACAGTGGAAATCTTTGTATCTCTGCAGTATTGTACTCAAAAACTGCAGTATTTGTATTCACAAACCTCTGTGACCATTGAGCACTTGGAATGTAGCTAGGGTAACTGAGGAATATGAATTTTAATTTTAACCAAGTAAATTAAATAGACACATGTGGCTCATGGCTACAGTATTACATATCACAGATCATAGAGTCACCTTTTTAGAAAATATAAATTTCAGATGAATTGGATCCACAAAAGGATCTCCCTTTGGCAAAGTATTTGCCCCAATATTTCCTATGAGATCCTATTACATCCCTTCTTTGCTGAAGTCAATAGTTTTACCCAGTATAGAGATTGTCTGTGTACTATTGTAATTAGGATATGCACAAAAGAAACTAATAACTTATATCTACAGGAATTTCAGAAGACTTCTCCTAGGAAGTGACTCTAACTTAGCCTTAAAGCAGTGGTTCTCAACCTGTGGGTCGTGACCCCTTTGACCATCGGAAAACACATATATAATTACATATTGTTTTTGTGATTAATCACGATGCTTTAATTATGTTCAATTTGTAACAATGAAATTGCGGGTCACCACAACATGAGGAACTGTTAAAGGGTCACGGCATTAGGAAGGTTGAGAACCACTGAAGGAAAGGAAGTTCACCCTGGGGTTGAGAGTTGAGCAGGAGATGGGGAGTTACAAAGATTAAAAAAAATCCATGGAATGACCAAGGAGTACTTGATAATTCAGTATAGCTGGAAATGAAGGCATTTCTGTGTGTGTGAAAAAAATATAGTATAGAGTTTTAAAAACTAACTATTGAACTTTACATATTTTATATAGTTTCTCACCCAAAATGGTCATTCTATCATATAGATGTAGGATTTTCTTACTCATCTTTTTTAGAAATATTACTTATGTTTTAATTGTTACATAAAACAATTAAAATTGCAATTTTGTTACCTAACTTTATTACTTGGACAAGGTTGAGATTTAGGAAATATATTGCCATGATGTCACCCATGGTTTATAATTTATAAGACTTTGGATTAGACATTAGCACAGTTATTATTTCCTCTAATGCCTTACCTCACCTCAGTCTAATAACACTCAGGAAATCCACAAGACAAAGGGGAAAGAGTGGTCTCAAAAGTTAAAAATAGTTGCTGAAAATTGATGCAATCATGTAATAAAATATGGCACAGTAACTTATATGATATGCTCATAGCATCTGCTAAAGCAATTAGAATCTATGCAGCTAGATTTTTGTTCATGTATTACTAAAAATGGAAACCATTTTAGCCCAAGTAAGACATAAACTATGCAGTTTGTGTACATTGTTCTTGGGATATTTTGGTCTCATTATTTGCATATGTGATCTATTTAATACTCTTTAAAATAGAAAATCATTGAGTAGCAATAAGATTTCAAAAGGCCTAACAAGTACAGCTGGACAGTTTTCTATGTGACATGTTACATGTGACAACATAGGATGCTAATAATCAATTATATTAAAACAGAGTTCATGTATAATAAATTAATATCTTCATATATCTAATAGGTCTTACAAGATAACAGGAAGAGCAATATTTATGTCTCTTTAATATCAATCCCATTAAATTTATCAGACATATTAAAAAGGTAGTCTTGTTAATTGAGAATTTTCATACATGTTATATTTAATAACATTTTTAACAAAGCTTTTGAACTAGACTCCTGTTTAAATATAGGAAAGAATAATTTTCAGTGCATTTTCAGTGTTCAAAGCATTCACATGTATTTTAAACACATGTCCTAATTTCCAATGATGAAAATATAGGCAAGTATTTCCACTGTGGCACAAACATATCGATCAGTATAAGAAAGCATGATTTTCTTGTGCCAACTATAAACAAAACTGTAGAAAAAGAAAATTAATGAATGTTTTCAAGGGCACACTAAGTGTTATTTTATGTAATTTATTACAGTGAATCTTCACATAAACCCTATGAGATTTTCTTACTCCGTTTACAGATGAGGAATCTGAGCTCAGAAAGGTGTAGGGATTGCCTGAGGCCCAGAGCAAACGGAAGGCAGAGCCAGGGATAATACCCAGCTCTGTCTGATTTCAACACACTTGGACCCCATTACTGTGTGTAATGGGTATAAAGTTTACACAACAAACATTTGTATGTGGGAGATCTCTTTTACTTCCCTATTCAAAATGAAATTTATTTATTCTAGACTTCCTAGGGAAATCTCTTTTACTTCCCTATTCAAAATGAAATTTATTTATTCCAGCTCACTAGGCTGGAAAGAAAATTCAATTCTTTACCCTTCAATAGAATCATATAAGAATATATAATAATTACATGGTAGATACCCAGAAATTTGGGTAAGAATTACATTTAAAGTGGAGGGGGGGTGGGAAGGAAGGGAGAAGAAGGCCTGCTTTGAACATATGGCCTGATACCATGACGAAGGATAGATTTTCATCTTCTCTTGAACCATAACTGACAGGCTTAACCTCTCTTCCTATGAACTCTAATCCTTTACTTTGTAAATCAAATACTAAACACCAGGTTGGAAGTACTTCTCGTCTACCTTGCCATTGTCTTATTAACTTGGACACAAGATCCCAGATATCAAGTGTCTCATACTTTGAGAGATAGCTCCTCCATCTTTGTCAGTATTGGAAAATGTCTTAAGAGGACAATAAATTTATAATATTTATGACAATGTTTTCAACCACACCACCAATTCTCCCTGCTGCTACCTCTAACCTGTGATAAATAATCATTTATACAAACATTAATAATATTTTTATGATTTTTGGCAATAGAGTATATACCTTTCACTAAGCATATTTGTTTTGGATTAGTTCCTAATTTTTATCAAAATACAACCAAATATTTCTTAAGAGGTTCGTCTATGCTTTTTTTTAGCATATTCCAATACGTTTAATATTATAATCTTAATATTCAAGTGCCTGTAATAAAACAGAATCAGACTGTCAAATTACAGTGGGAAGGCTGGGGAGTGTTGGGGGAGTGGGGGAGGTAAGAGATCAACCGAAGAACTTGTATGCATGCATATAAGCACAACCAATGGATACAAGACACTGGGGGGTGGAGTGAGGGCATGTGCTGGGGGATAGGGGAGGCCGGGGGAAGGTCAATGGGGGGGGGGAGACATATCTACTACTATCTGTAATACTTTAAACAATAAAATAAAATTTAAAAAATAAATAAATGAATTTATATTGTAAACAAGTTTGTAATTTCATGACTAATATAACTGTCTTTGGGTTATAGTTCTTTCAAATTATACTAGGAAAAATTACAGTAATGATGTTTGTTTAATTTTCATATTCTTTGGTTGCAGTGATAATATGAGAAGTGTTCATTTAATACAAATAAATTATATTTGTGTGTTTTTTATGTTGCTTGCTGCTTTATAAAGGCTTTGTTTAATTCTTTTAAATTTTCTCAATAAACAAGTCAGTTACCAACACTGATTTTGGGGAACCTGAGCCTCAAAGATATTAAGTGGCGAGCCAATCGTTGGCCTGGCTGGGCCTGCCTTCTAATCCCTGTCCTTGCACTACAACTTAGCACAATTCTGAGAAACCCTGTAAATTACCCCGCCATGTAAACTTTAGAATCCAGCTAAAGAGCCGTTCTTGCTATTAGATAACTAAGTACCAAGTACATGGAATCAGTAATTCTCACTCACAGTAATAAAAATGAGGAACACATTTTGTTTCCTTTTTATTTCACTCTTCTTCCCTAACCCAAATGAATTTTAAGAGTCATAATTTGAAACTCTGCCATTAGCTCCATCAGAAATATTAAATTTTAAAGTGTCCCATAAATGAACACCATTTACTATTCTAAGAAGATAGAAAATACTTTTATGTGAATACTAGAAATTGCCAAAGAAGCTATTTTATTTCAGCCTGTGGACAAGTTAATGTGCTCCTGGAAAAAGCATGCATATTCTGACCTAATTTATCCCCTACTGCACCTGATTCTGAAAAGAGTGCTCAGAAAGGCATTCCTCCCCCCCCCCAACCCCCACCACCAACCCCCCTCCCCCCGCCCCAGTTTACTATTACATAGAAGTTGCAGTAACTTGACACATGACACATTCTGAGGGCAGGGTCTCAGGCATGAGTTAGTTGCCTCCTTTTTAAGGAATTTGTTGCAGTGCTTTCTGGAATACTTTCTACCGGGGAACTGTGCATATTTCTGTATGAGTCAAATATTCACTCCAGTTCCTGGGTACTTGAGTCAACTGAGCAGACTTCCCAGTGATAAAAACTGTGTCACCTGTGTGTTTGTTGTTCTAATGATACTACCTTCAAGCACACCTCCCATAACATACAGTTTTATATTTCTCACTTAGAGAAAATGATAAAGATCGTTTCAGTTCCAATGGAATTTAAAAACGCTTCAGAAGCATGTAAGCCCCAACGTAGTAGAAATGACAAGAGTAGGGGAAGTAACTGCTATGGCTATTTAGCATTTCCTTCTGGAACATAAAGAAAAATAAGATAGTGTATTATATTCTAGACATCTAATATAGTTCATTGCTTTTTTTCTCTTTGTAAAGGAATAAAAAGAGTCATTTAAATTTAAAATCCTTTGCTTCAAGAGCCATCAGGCTAGCTCTTGGCAAACCTATGTGATAAAATGACCCCCCTACTCTTATCATGACATGTCTTGTCTTTAGATTTCATTCATATATTATTCCTTGAAACATTCTAAATGCAACCAAAAAAAAATCACTGAACTAAGTAGATTTTTGGTTAGTAATAGCTAGATTTTAATTCACTCAGTTATTTTGCCATCTCTACCGTTTACATAAATAATTATACCCCTTGATAATGAACATGAATATTCCATCTCTCTCTGATTAACTGGCATGATAAAATATCTCTTGTCATAAATAAATTCTATCCTTCTTTTTCTTATCTATAGGACAACATTTTTAAGCTGGAAGATTCACACTTTGAAAATGGCCGTGGGAAGAGTCCATATGACCCTAAACTGCTGACAGCATCTCTTTTAATAGGTGCGTAGTCAACAACCAATTAAACAGTGAATTTTCTATAGATAATAACTAGAGTGCATGTTGTTTATTATATGCTAATATTATTGAACATAAACTATTTTAGGAGTATATGAGTTGAGATATTTTCAAATATTTTGAAAATTGAGGAAATACTAAGTGCTCTTTTGATGATTGTATTATGTAGACTCTGATTCTTTTTACTCAAAATGGTTTAATAGTATCTTTGAAGTTGCTGGCTCAATCACTATATACATCTCCACTAGAACTTTCAAGTTTTTATTTTGAAAGAATGGTTTTGTTTTTAATTTCATGAAAGGGGTGTTTAAATTGAGAATTTTGACAAATCAAAAGGAAAGAATGAAATTGTCTTGTTAAATCTTGTAGTTCTAAGATCAGTCACACTCTCAACATTTGGAAACTTAATCAGCACAATCAGTCTAAATGGAGGTATGACTGGCAGAGACCTTATTGTGTTACTTTGAGTTGATGAAGGTCTTCTGTATTCATCTTTTTTGACTTTATATCTTTCACTCTTTTTAAAATAAAACAAAAAAAATGTACATACTCTTTCTACCCTTTTCTCTAGTTTTTTTTCCCTTTCCTTTTTTCTTCAGCATTAAAGATGGGTAGTAAATGCTTAGCCAGTTGTTGAGATGTTATAAGTAGGAAAATAGAAATAGGCAGGTGAAGGAGAAAACTTTAGTTTGTATTGAAAGATAATTTTTCCATAGTTTTTACTACTTATGGACTGGAGTTAAATAAAACACAAAACAAAGTTAACATCATTAAACAATTTTTCTTCTTAACTTTTGATTATATCAAGAACCTAAAATACAAAAGCTACTTGGTCATTACCTTGCTCCTGAATGTAGTTTCTATATAATCATGTGGAAATTATGTAACTTGTTTCCTTTTTATAAAATATAGAGAGTAATTATTTGATAACACAACAAAAATAATAGTGAAATGTTTCAAGTTAAAATTTGAATACTAAATCTGAATTTCTATAAAGTAAATTTGGGCCAGGCTGGTGTGGCTCAGTAGTTGAGTGTCAACCTATGTACCGGGGGGTCATGGTGCGATTCCCCTTCAGAGCTCAATCCCCAGTGAGGGGCATGCAGGAGGTAGCTGATCAATGATTCTCATTCATCATTGATGTTTCTATCTCTCTCTCCCTTCTTCTCTGAAATAAATAAAAAATATTTGTAAAGTATTTGGATTATTATTTGATGTGTCAAAAGTTCATAAAGTTTTGCCAGTATTTTCCTTTTAAAAAATATTTTTTCTACTCAACAAAATAAAACTAGTCATATTGACTGCAGTATTAGTGATAAAGATATATTTTTCCAGTATTCCAGTATTCTCTAGTGTTTACTTCATAACTACATTTCACTGATCCCTTTCCTTTTAAGAATAAAACCACTACTGCATGAATTATCTCCTTTATTGCTTTTCAAATGTAGACAATTTCAGTCCATTTGATCCATTTATGGAGCATTTTAACAAAAGTTTAAGACCTGAAGAAATGCAGCAAATATAGCACACTTATAATTTTCCTATTCACAGATAGCCTAGTGATTACATGTGGATGACTTCCTTAAGTGCACACACAGAAATTTGAGAGTTGTCTTAAACAAAGGGAAAGAATCCAACCTTGTTCAAACTTGCAGCTTATACTTATTTAAACTGCATACTTGAAAAAAAATAGATTTGCCTCAAAAAGCAGTATGTAAAATTGTGCCTAAAGCAGCTTTAATGTGTGGTATGTTTCTCAGTAGGGATTTGCTCGATTATTTATTTTAATATTCCATTGAGAAAGGATGATGACAGGTAAGCATTACATAGTTCATTTGGTATGCAACCACACAAAGTCCACAAAGACTATTAACTCCACAGTTTGTGTTTTATACTAGAAATTCTTTGAAAAAAACTACATAGGTTTGTGAAAAGGAAAAGAAAATGAGGGAAGTGTTGTGAGCCCAGGAGATGATGTATGACTAAGAATTACAGTAGGCATTTCAGAAAAGCAGCTTTAAAATGGAGGTCCAGAACTCACCTACCTAATATGATGAACTAATTGAGTAACTTTCGAAGATATTTAGTGCTGATTCACAAGGAAGTTTCTTCAAGCCAATATAAATTACTTTCTGAATCAATTGGATAGAAAGATGCAGAATGCAGGCCAGATTAGACCTGGTAAAGTCCCTCAAAATATCTGCAACACCATTTTAATTCAAGAGCCGTGACTTCCTTTATTGAGGTTACTTGCTTCTTTTATAACTAGGCTATAAATTCTTCTTCTCACAGTACATTTAATTCCCCTTGTTGGATGTTTCTGGCATCTTTCCATGATGCTGCTTACAAAAGAATGCTTGCTAATTTAATGGAATCTTTTTACACATAAATATTTTCTACCGCACTTCCCAAACTTTTACATACAATAGTAACTGTCCCTGAAATATAAAGTCTGCACATTACATATTAGTGAATGACTGTTGGGAAAACCTACATCTACCCAAAAGATTTTGAGTATATTCTTCTCATTTCAGCAATAAGAGGAATTGTCAAGGTGGTTTCTGGGCCGCTTCCTTTCCCAAGACTGAGAAAGAAAATGTCATGTTTGACACAAACCACCTATAAAGTGGCTAGAAGGGCTTGGCAGCAGATTCTTTCAGACCCTCTATTAAGCAGTTTCAACTAGTAGTAAACTTTAAAACCAGATGACAGCTCAAAAATTTTAGTTTATGAAATCTGTCAAGGTTTAATAGGACCTCATTCCAAAATGCCATGGGTTTTTCAGCTGATGACCATAGAAAATATGGATTATCTCCTGAGCAATACAGAGCTACTGAATTGTCCCCAAATATTACAATCTGTCTGAGCTTTTAAAATCACGTTAGTAAAGTTGATTTTTCAAATCCTCTTTAATAAAAACCATTGTCAATATTAAATTGCTCTGATATTTTTTGATATTTCTTCTTTCACCCCCCTCTAAATATTTTATGACATTTTTACAAAGTTCTTCATTAACAGCAGTAGTTGTCCTGCTCAGAATAAACACCACGTGTGAACACAGCAAAAGCATAAAACTTAGTATTTTCCTCCCTAAGTATCATCTCACATTTTCATGACTTGAGAGGAATAGCCAACTTGAAAGCCATTTTGTTTCCTCATTAAAATCTTTTCCAGGTATTGCAGTGATAATAATTTATAAATATTCCACCACTAAGAGCTATTACTGAGGTCTAGACCAAGGGTCTGTACTGGTAACTAGAAAGTTGCCTTGTCTTAAGAATAAACATAATTTGACATTAGGATATACTCTCACTTTGTGTTAGAGCAAACAAGGTACTCCTTACATTAATTAACTATAACTGAGACAATTATTTGAACCCCTCTGAACATCGGTTTCTTTATATATTAAATGGCTTGGCCATATTAATTCCATTGGTTTGTTGTGAGGCAAAAATAAGACAGCATACTACATTTGAGTGCTTACATATTCTGAAATATATGTTAAACAGAAACAAGCAAACAAACCAAAAACAACTGGTAGCAGTGGTTGCCTTTAGGAAGTCTGGGAGACAAATGGTGTACCTTATACATTTTCTATTTTTACTAACTTTGTACTATGTGCATATATTAACTACTCAAAAATGTTAGTTTTAAAGGACAGCATAAGTAACAAAGTCATCATATTATACAGTATGGGGCAAAAGTAAGTTTATAGTTGTGGGTACTCAAAACACAGATTTTATTATTGTTATTATTTATTATTGTATTATTTTTCATACAAATAACTATAAACCTACTGTTGCCCCACCCTGTGTTCATTCATATACATAAATGTGCTCAATAAATGTAAAAATGTAAAATTATTCTCATACCCTTCACTTCTCAGGAAATAGATTGTGTGAGAGAGAGAGAGAGAGAAGAGAGAAGAGAGAATTTCTCTTTTCCTACGTTTCTAATTACTCAGCTATTCTGTGAGTGGGATTTACTTAAGGTGTTAACATAATGTCTTGGTTTTAGGTTTGTTTGATTTTGCTCACATCCATGTCACACTTTACACCTGTGTTAGTAATGCTTCGATTTCACAAGGAAATATTTTTTCACCTTCTGTTTCTCTTCACCACACCCTTCTTAGGAATTGTAATCTAATACATTAACTGATCTGAGCCACATTTTCACTTCATTTTGAGTTGTGCACAGAAAGACCAGAGTACACATGAGCTTTTGTTTTTAACACATGTTTCTCAGATAACTCCACAATGGTGGAAATGCCGTTCACTAAACTGTTTGTTCATCTCGGTAAAGAATGCTTTCCTTAAAGACAGTTTAAAAGGCTGACAGTTAAGAAAGAATGGTGTGCTCAAATAGCATCTTTTAAATTTGACAACTTCTGAGTGGTTAGTTACATCTGTCAGCACTAATGTATCTTACGCCACTGTATTATTTTTGAGATATTAAATTGTCTATGTTTTTTTGTAGAGAGACTTAAGAACCTTGTTGGACAGAGTATCCACAACCACTTTTTAATAAATATAACAATTTCTTGAGTATATTATTTTATCATAAATTTAATAAAATTGGACAGATATTTTCTTTGACTAGTAGCTTAGTATATATGGAAAACCAAAAAGTATCTATCTTAACCATAGTGTCATTTCAAACATAAGATAACATTGACCTAATACACTACTTCAGATCCCCAGGAAAACATATTTATGCTCATAAAACTGACAAATTATCATTATGCTCAAAAATCAACATATAATTTGATAACTTATAATTGACCTAGAAACTACAAAAGAAGTTTGGCAAGTAGGCATTTCTGTTAAACCTAGTTGTAAATACGCCAACTGAAGTATACAGTAAATTTCTTATAGTCAGATATCATTAGATCATTTCAGATAACTACAAAATGTACTAAGTTGTTAATATATAGTGAAAATGCACAAGTATATTAAATGAAATGTACTCTAAATTGATATTATATT